TCAAATCCCTGTTACAAATTGGTTGTGTGCCCTTGACAAATTACTTACCCCTCTGGACTCTAATTTCCTCATCATTTATTTATTTATTTATTTTTTTTTTTAAAGATTTTATTTATTTATATGACAGAGAGAGACAGCGAGAACAGGAACACAAGCAGGGGGAGTGGGAGAGGGAAAAGCAGGCTTCCCACCGAGCAGGGAGCCCGATGCGGGACTCGATCCCAGGACCCCGGGATCATGACCTGAGCCGAAGGCAGACACTTAACGACTGAGCCACCCAGGCGCCCCCTCATCATTTATTTAAAAAAAAAAAAAAAGTTATAAAAAGAATTTAATTCTCAGGACTGTGATAGAATTAAGTGAGATAATGTGTAAATAGCACAGCAAGACTCCTGGTATGTAACAAGTGCTCGATACATGCTGGCTATCTTTATTATCTGATATAAATGTCTCCAGAGCAATCCCAGCCCTCAGTCTTAGAAGGCACAATCTCTCAGAGAGCCCTTCAGCCAGCTCCTAGGACCAAACTCCTCCACAGCCCAGGCCTGTGGGCCATCTCACACAGTACCCACCATGGAGGGAGGACCCAATACCCCGTGCTGGCAGTGAGAAAATCCAGGAGCTTCCTGGCATTAGCAGCATAGTTCTCCAACCCCTCACACTCAGGTTGGTGCAGGAAGGCCCAAGATTTCCTCTTCTGTTCCATTCTCCCTGAATCCTGAGTACAGATTCCACAGGCTCACTCCATTACTGAGCTGTCATTTATTCAACAAACATTTATTGAACAACTACTACATACCAAACATTGTCCAAGATTATAATGGCGCCCACAATCTAGTGAAAGGTACAGATAAGTAGAGGCAGACACAATACAATTTCATGTATAAATAAGTACATGTGCTCCAGAAACACACAGGAAGGCACCTAGAAATTGACATTAAGAAGGATCATGAGGAAATGGCCAGCTAGAGCATCCAGCTGGGGTTGGGGGGGGGCGCACAGAGAGTACTGAAAGATGAGGTTCGAGAAGTAAGCAAGAGCCTTGAGGCCTCATTAAACAGCATGACTTTGCCTTGAGGGCAAGAGGAAGCCTTGAAAGTGTTTCGTAGGCATGTGACTTAATTTGCTATAGTTAGGAGAATGTCATGGGGGTAAAACTGGAGTCAGACGACTTAGAAGACTTCTGTAATCCAAGAAGAATATGGTGACCTGAGGGGCGCCCGGGTGGCTCAGTTGGATGAGCATCCAACTCTTGATTTCGGCTCAGGTTGTGATCTCAGGGTCATGGGATAGAGCCCCGTGTCAGGCCCGGGCTCAGCAGAGAGTCTGTTTGAGATTCTCTCCTTCTCCCTCTGCCCCTCCCTCCGCTTGCACTCTGGCTTCCTCTCTCAAATAAATAAATCTTAAAAAAAAAAAAAGCACCTGGTGACTTGAACTAGGGCAGCCGTAGCAGGGATGGTAAGAAGGCAAAGACTTTGAGAAACCTCTGGCAGGAAGAATCAACAAGATTTGGCAATTAACTGGTTGTGGCTAGAGAAAAGCAATCAAGGATGGTTCTCAGGTTTCTGACAGAACTACCAGACAGTGGTTCCAGTCACAACGTGAGAGCAAGCTGGAGGACCAGGTGTTGGGAGAAAGAGGACACCTGAGCTTTAAGGGGCCTGTGGCATCCAGATGGAGATACAGAAATAGGCAGTTGGATGTGAAAGCTTGGGGTTCAGCTGGCAGATAAAGCAGACTGCTTTTCTCCAGCAGGATCTCTGCTGCCATGTCAAAGATGGAACCCCTCTATAGAGACATTCCCTGCCTGGGTAGGCAGAGAAGACAGAGAATTGGAGAAAGAACCCTAAACGCCATGAAGAGCTTCAAGAACCACGAGGTAAGGCAGGTAGGGGAGGTAGATCAGGTTAGGGATGCAAGCTGACCAAGGGCCAAAGCCATAAAAGTGACATTTCTTAAACAAGTTGAGAAGGAAAATTAAATCTGTGCCCACTAAATTAAAACCCACCTCGGCAGGATCTGTGACTATAGCATCAAAGGCCACAGAGTATCAACTCATCTGGCTTTGACAAAAGATGGACACAAAATGATTCTGTTGGGACCGGAGCAGATTTCTTTTCTCCAGTGGGATTTCTGCTGCCACTTCAGTTCCCATTTCTCAGTGCCTCACTAATCAGGCCCTTTCCAACAAAAGTGATGGGAAGCTGGTTGGGGGTGGGTGTTGGGAGAGAGGGGAAGGGCAGCAATGAGAAGGAGCCGTGGCTCTGGGAAACTAGAGTGGGAAATGAAAATATTTGCTGAATTCCTTAGACTTAGTTAATCTGAAAATGGATGTCAAAATAAGAAGTAAGCCCCATACTAACAAGTTGCGGATGTCAATTTAACACCACCCTTGTCAGGCTCCTCAGCAGCCTTTACCAGGTGCATAAAAAGGTGATGGCTCTGATGAGAGCCATCTGACGAGAGGTTCCAGGAACACCGATAAGCTGTGCACTGTCACGAAGCACTACTTAGGTTTCCTCTCTGGCTGTTTTTATTTTGTTACACATTTAATTAAGAGCCTTCCCAGCAGTTATGTGGAGTCCTGCTTCTAAAAGGCAGCCACAAAGCTCTCCTCCCCCCAACCCCTGCTACCTGACATCTGCTTCCCTCCTGCATATTCTCTTTCAGAGCTTCACTGGTCTTTTCAATGCAAACACAAACCAGCTTACCAAAGTCTGCCCAACCCATCTCTTTTAGAAGCAACATGGTCTTAGAATTCAAGTCTGTCTAGCTAGGAGTCTACCAATTTGGGTCTCAGTTTCAAATTCTGTTTTGTTTCGTTTTTTCCATCTTTAAAAGGGAGCTATCACCTTCTACCAGGGAAGATAATTAGGAGGACTGAATGAAATATGGTACATGCTCATTAAAATTTGGTTTCAAGGCGCCTGGGTGGTGCCAATTGGTTAAGCGTCCGACTCTTGGTTTTGCCTCGGGTCATGATCTCAGGGTCCTGGGATGGAGCCCCATCTCAGGCTCCAAGTTCAGTGTGGAGTCTGCTTGAGATTCTCTCTCCCTCTCCCTTTGCACCCCCCACCCCAGCTCATGCTGTCTCTCTCTCTCTTTCTAAAATAAATCTTTAAAAAAAATTTTTTTTTTGTTTTTTTTTTTTTCTATATGTCTGGATATAGACCCAATCCCTCTTCTTGATTACATCGGTTCTTATGAAGATGCAAAGCAGCCTCCTGAGTCACCAAAATCTGTCCCAGGCTCAGTGGGCCGAACTGGTGCTAAAGGCCAGAATGGGCCAGACCCAAAGACAACACCCTCTGAAACTCCCTCTTTGTCTCATGGAGAAACCAACTTAGGAGGCCTGGCCAGAGAGTCCCCACACGGACGCACAGGGAAGTTTTCGTATACACACATATGTACATGCCATCCCTAGTTAACGCAGGAGATTCTGAAATGTGGGTGTCTGGGATATGAACACACCAGAGTGAAATCCACTTGGAAGAGTGGGAGTCCTGGGAGGCTATCTGGAGACACTGGGCCTCTGGACTGGGCCACATGAGCCACAGACACTGGGTATCAGCCTGAACCCCAAACAGCTTCTCTTATGCTACGTACCTCCACCTCAATCCCTTCTCTGCTTCAAGTACTCGGAGCTGCCCAGGATGTCATAAATAAGAGCAACAGCCTTCCTCCTCCTCACCTTCTCTGTGGAACCCTCCCCTGATTCATATCTGCTTCCAGATCCAGCCTCTGTAATTTCCCTGACACATGAGTGTCATCTGGGAACACGGAGATCCTCTGGAGCTCTGGGAGTCCTGTGCACAACCTAAGAGTATGCAGTCAGTGTGTGTATATGACCTGAGGGATGTGTGGGTGTTTATGTGATCTGGACTTGTTCCTCCTGTCTCACCTAGGGAGCTGGTATCCAGTAGCAGGCTTGACATCCACCTGAGTGCGTAACTTCACCTCAATACCCAGCATCCAAAAGGCATAAAAAAGGACCTTGGTGAGAAGATAATGCCTAATTTGGTAGGAAATGTCACTCCGGAGCCACTATTCCTCACCCCCGACCAATACCCCACCTATGCACAAAAGTGTACACGCATGCACGCGCGCATGCACACACACACAGAATGCTTGCAGCTGCCTTTGGTCACAAAAAACACAGAGATATCGATTCTATCAATCCTCAGCAAACAGTGCCCCCACAACCTCCACCCCATTTTAGCTCCCTGGGGGCTGTCTGAAGCCAGGTATCCATGAGGATAGACAAGAGGCAAAAGTGTCAACCTAGCAAAGGAACCAGTTCTGTCTTCCATAACCAGGGAAGGACCAGGGGACAAAGGAGAAAAAGCAGTGGGGACAAAGGAGGCTGGGGAATTGGACAGCTCCCTAGAAGCAGCCCTCTCTCATCCCACCGCTGGGCCTGCAATTGAATCATCAGGGCCTTGTACCCCAGATAAAAGGGTAGCACAGCAGAATGGTTAAGAGACAGGACCCTGGAGCCAGGTTGTCTGGGTTTGAATCCTGGCTCTGTGTGTCTTAGGCAAGTTACTTAACCTCTCTGTGCCTTAATTCCCTTATCTATAAAACAGGAATAAAAGTACCAAGGTTTATTAAATGAATTACTATTTCTAAAGCATTAAGGGTAGTAAACACTATATATTTGTTATTTAAAAAAAAAAAAAAAGGATCTTCTTTTAACTCCTTCCTTCCAGGGCAATAACATGCAGCCCCACAACTGGAAGGACTGTCCTGAGCAGTGGGACCTGGCAAAGGCAGGAAGGCCCTGACAACAGCCGTCCCAGTAGGGTCCTTGACAGGTCTACTCCCAGCTCCAGAGGCAGAAGGCAGGGTTCCCAGTCCTCTTTTCACCTTGGCAGCCCCAAAGATCCAGGGACTCCCTGACTCAGCTGCCCTGTAGGCTTGGACGTGTAAGCCTGCAAAAGGCGACACCTGGTCCCATAGCTTCCAAGCCCTGCCAGCAAAGCAGTGCTTCTCATACTCACATGACTTTCAAGTCCCAGTCTCCACAAGTGACAAAAATTGACTTGACGTTTGGATCTAAGAGGCCTTCTTTCGCCATCCACTCATCGACCCTCTGAAAAGTACACAACAAGAACAGATGAGATTTTCCTTTCTTTTTTTTTCTTCCCAAGTCTGTGAAGAGCCACACCAGTGAAACACAGATAAGCTGCTTGTAATCAGAGCAGGAGAAAACTGTAATCTTATCCAGCCATGGCTCCGCTCTGGGCTCTCAGCCTTGGCTCAGGGCTATGGGGTCACCGGGAGGATGATCCCTGCAGGAAGATCCACAAACCCGAATGAGTGGGGAAGGGAGTCCCTCCACTGCCCCACTGCCCCACTGCCTGGCAGCTCACCCCAGACAGGATAAGGACACATCCTGGTAAGTCGGTCCTCAAAAGCAAAGCCTAGCGCAGACACAGGATGCCCTGGGCCATGAGAACAGGCTGGAAGGAGGCCCCAAGCAGGAACTCCAATCCACAGGTTCATTCATTCCCTTACTCATTTCACCCTCCCACCAAAGGTTTATTAACCAAATTTATGAATTTGGTTATTCCCCAAATGACAGTGAAGTTAATTTTCACTGTGAGTCTAGGAGAAAAAGCTTCCTTGCTGGGACAGAACCCCACCTTGATCCCTGGGGTGGCACTGCCTGCTTCAGTCACTGAAAGCTCATAAACTGGCCCAGATTTTATGTTTCTCCTCTCCTGGTGGAGGACTCAAATTCAAATTCAGTGGACTCTTTTGAAGGCTGAGCTCAATTCCTAGACAGGGACAAAAACTGCTCCTAAACATACTTTAAGTATTTCTTTCCCTTCATCCCTTTGATCAGGCTTATTATTTGCACTCACACTGGAAGTACAAATACTAAAATCAGTATATAATGAGAGAATTATCAGAAAGCATTCCTGAAGCATTGCCTATTTTTCAGAAGATCCCAGGTATGGGGTGAGAGTACAGCAGATGACCATCACGCCACTCACACAGAAGGATTAGCTTTTAAAGGCTACATCGCAAAGTAGCCAGAAATGCAGGATTGAAAGTCAAACACATCTGGGTTCTAACCTTGGCTCTTCCATATCCTGGCTGTGTCACTGATAGGAAGTCATTTAAAAGTCATTTAACCTCTCTGAGCTTCAGTTTCCTTCGTCTATAAAACGAAGTAGGATGACTAACCTTACAGGGTTGTTTTGAGAATTAAATGTAATAATGTATCAAGTGCCTACCACAAAATAGACAGTAGGCTGAGAAGGCGAGAAAGGCAGATCATCATAATACAATATAATAGATGCAGCCCTGGAGAAGTGACCAGAATGCTATAGGACCAAGAGGAGGAAATGACTAGCTCTACCTTTTACAGAGAAAGGAGTCAGAAAGGAAGGCTTCAGGAAGACGCCAACCGAACTAGGGGACTTGGTGGTTGGGTTTCCCAAAAGGGTGGAGCAGAGTAAAGGATATCCCAGGCAGAGGCAGAGGCACGATCATTTTGTATTTGAGAAGCAATTATATGCTCAATGTCTGCCTCCCCCACCAGACTGTAAGCACCATGAAGGCAGGGACTTTTATTTGTTTTATTCACTATCTAAATCCCTAACTCAGCAGTGTTTTCTCAATAGATACCTGCTGATTGACTGAAACATGAGTAGGGGATAGTGTGACCGATGTCCAGTGTAGAAAGGAGGGACAGGAAATGACGCTGGGGGTTAGGCGGGCCAGACTGTGAAGACTCCAGCAGGTAATGGAGAGCTCACTGAAATCGTGAAGTAAGATTACTCCTAGCAGGTGTAGGCTAGTTCCCTGGGACATCTCAGAGATCCTGGAGGCCTGGTCCATACCATAGCAGTCTTTGAGTAGGGCCAAGGATTCTAGGTCATTCCATGGCTAGAGCAGTCCTACCTCTCAGGAGGTCAGAGCTGCTCCTTAAGCCAGATTGTGCAGACCCTCTTCACAGTCTGCACACCGGAGAATCCCCCTCAGCCCAAGAGTCTCCCTAGCAAGCTAAATTCAGGACCTTCCACTGTGGAATGGCTTGTCTCCCCAGCCACTATGGCCCAGTTGCACAGAAGGACATGCACACACTCACATTCATGTATCCTTTCCCAAGACTCTACATAAGAAAAGGAATAAGGCAAACCTAGGGCTCCCAATCTCATCTAACCCTGCTCCAGCTCACTGGCCTTAAATCCCTGCAAGGTAAGCGCCCCATCTTGGAAAAGAGAGCAAGACAGGATTGTCAGGAGCCAATGCCCAGCAGGATCTTCCCATGAGAAGCACTTAATACTCACAGGGGTCCTTGGAAGCTTAGGACCTAGGCCATTCACTCATGCAATAGGTATTTAGTGAGAACCTTCTACTGTAAGCCTGTCCAGAGAAGTGATACTACATTTGTCCTGTAGTATCACTGTCTTTCTCTGTCCTTTTCCTTCCCTTCTCCGCTTAAATGGATAAAGAGTTAGAGGAATCACCAAGGGAGGGGGGTGGGAGGATGGGTTAGCCTGGTGATGGTATTAAAGAGGGCATGTTCTGCATGGAGCACTGGGTGTTATGCAGAAACAATGAATCATGGAACACTACATCAAAAACTAATGATGTAATGTGTGGTGATTAACATAACAATAAAAAATTTAAAAAAAAAAAAGAGAGAGGAATCACCAAGGCAGTCCCCAATCAGCTGGGCTGGCCCTCCCAGCTACTAAAGGTCTGGCATGAGTCCTACCTGTACTAAATGAGTCAGGCAAACACCTAGCTGGCCACCTGCTCAGGGCCTTGGTTAGAACAAGAAGTCAGCTTTTTAGCTATATGACCAACTCAGGGCTAATGAGACAAAGTAGAGCCCATTCTGGTCTCCTTGCCAGAGACTCCCTATTCAGGCTGATGCCAGGAATCTTCCCTCTTCACCCACAAAGTATGCTCAAGTATCAGAAAGTAGCTTTGTGGATAAGACTCAGAATCCCCTGAGCATTCTGCTCCAGGCTGGCCTGAGGTTAGCAAGAGGAAGCCTCCTGAAGACCATCGCTCCCTGTCAACCAGCACAACTGAGGGAAAAAAAAATCCCATAGTCTCAATAGCTCTGGTTCAGTGCTGGCCTACAGCAGACATCTTCCTCCTCAGATCCTGGCCAGAGACATTCCTGGGAATAGCTAGCTGCCTGCAGTCTGGCCTCCCTCAGGGGGCAGGCCCTGGCTGGGACAGAGGAAAGAACGGGTCGGTCCCCACTTTCTCTTTGAGTCTGGTCTTACAGGGAGCAGTTGATGCTGAGGGGTCCCCTCAATCATAGGAGTAAATCTCCCCTCAAAAAAAGAGGGTCAGTGGGGCTGGGAGACACCTCAGAACTCACCTTCTCATCTCCCAACCTACTGTAGGTACCCTAACACTGACCCGACCCAGAGCTTGACCAGTCAGAGAACCTAGGCTTGTACACTCCCAGGGACAGGGAGCATACCTGCCACTGGGTGAGCCTAAACCTGACTCCATCCTGAGGAGCCCAGGAATTCAGTCTGCATTTCTCTCTCCCATGGGACAGGGCCTCTTGGCTAAATAAAGAGATCTTCCTCCCTCTCCCTGCTACCACCCAACTTCCTCTAGGCTGACTACCTAGATGTGCCCTGCTATCCCCCCCACCCCCTACTCTGCTTCCTCCTGTGCTTTGATAGGGGCTGAGCTTTAGGTTTACTGGTCTTAAAGATAATAAAGCATCTACTGGGATCCACAGGCTTTTTCTCTTCTCCCCTCTCCCTAGAGAGGAGGGAGGGGGAAAGGGACCTTCTTCCTCCGTGAAAACCCCCAGGCCAGAAGGGGTGGGAGACAAGCTGAGGCCAAGCCTGGCCCTTCCTTATTCCCTCAGGCTGGAGCACAAGAAGCAGCGTCTTAACCTTTTCCAGCTCCCGGAGGAGAACATCCTAGAAGTATGGTCTCCGCCAAGGGTTCTAAAGCCTTTCATTTGATTTCCCTCACATAGGCAATTGTCGTAATTATTCTGATTCGGAATCATTACCCAGCGCAGCCTCTGCACCCCTGACAGGCACAATGCATCCAGCGGCAGACTGCAGTGGGGCAGGCGGGCCCAGCGCACCTCCTGGAGGAGCCGACAGCAAACAAAAGCCATCAATGGGGAGTTCTGGGTGAGTTAATGAAGCGCTCACATGCCACAGGCAGCCAACACTAAAGCTAAACAAAAACACCTTCAGTCCCCAGGGCTAGTCCTGCGGTCCCACGCTCGGCTCCCCTCTTCCCCGACCCATCCAGCACCGGCTGCCCACGCTGTCCGGCTGCCCACGCTGTCCGGCCCAGGGCCAGCGGCCAGGAGGCGGTGAGGGCCCTGTGTGGAACTCGGGGCAGCACTGGACATCTTGCCAGTAACCCTGACGGGAACAGCTGGAGATGACAGATCAATGGTTCAATACTCTCAACAGCATGTCACCGATGTGACAGCAAATGTTATTCTAATCAAGCCATAATCATAGTCAAATTACACGGCTACATTCTCAGGAGGGGAGGGAGAGAAAGGCAGCGGGAAAGGGTCAGAGGTCAGGAATTAAAGGTCACTCAACCTACCTCCAGCACTTGCTGCAGGCTCGGCTGACCATCCACCATGGCTTGAATAATCCCGGTGAGCTGAAAGGAAAGAGAAATAGCCAATAGGTGGAACTGCAGGGTGCAGGGTCTCAAAGCCAGACTGGATCCTTTCCTTTCTCCTTCTAACCATAAAAGACTCTGGCCTGCAATACTTTTGGCTCAGAACCTGTCAGAAGCCTTGGGAATGAAGTCCCAGGACATAAGGTGAACTTTCTCCACAACATCCTGCCCCGAGAGAGGAAACACATCTACATGCTGACCACAGGGTGTGTTTCATACCCATTTCAGCTTTCACTTTGAAAAGAAAAGGAAAAAAAAAAAAAAAGATTTTATGTGTCTTGTATTCAATAGGCTCAGTAAATCCCTACAAATTATGATCTAAAGTAAATTCACCTCCCAGCTTCACAGAAGTTCCTGTAGACCTTGAGGAATGCTCACATAGGACAGCAACACTTGGGTTCAAGTCTGGGTCTCGATGTCCAGCATTTCCCCATCTAACACCAGAGAAGAGCCGGGGGAACCCCACAGGCATCCACCCTTTACCGTGAATACCTGGGTCCTCAATACCAACTAGGCAAGCAAGAAATAGACACCTTTTTTTTTTTTTTTAAGATTTTATTTATTTGACAGAGAGAGAGAGAGCACCAGTAGGCAGAGTGGCAGGCAGAGGGAGAGGGAGAAGCAGGCTCTCCGTTAAGCAGGGAGCCAGACGTGGGGCTCGATCCCAGGACCCTAGGATCATGACCTGAGCCGAAGGCAGACGCTTAACGACTGAGCCCCAGGTACCCCAAGAAATAGACACCTTTAACTGATTGGGAAACTCAGATGGAAAGGCCTAATAAAGGAACCTGGTCTAGAGAATTTCTGACTCAGGCCTATGCTCACCCAGGTCAGGCCTAGGTTCAAACAAGCTTGTTGCTTTGCTTTGTTTTGTTTTGAAGTGAAAATATCCCTTGAATACAGACTAGGACAGACTGCCTCGGGGACCTGAGGCAGGAGGCCCCTATCCACAGACCTGGACCCAGCTGGAAATCACCATGCCCAATGTGCCCCTGGCTACTCCTACAGAGAGCAGCAGCTCAGGCTTGCTGGGGAACTTCTTTTTTTTAAGCGTTGGGGGGGGATTAAACTCCAATTAAACTAAAATTACATTTAATGAATATCAAATACCCAGCTCACAGGAACCGCTGGCTCTAAGAGGGAAGTTTAGTTTCTCATAGAGACTTACATGGAATGGTAATACACACCTTTTAGGGAAGAAATTTTCATTTTAAGAACGCTGAGTTCCTCTAGGTGGGTTTCTGTAGTTCATCAAGTCATTATTAGGTGGTATTTTAAGGAAGTGTAAGGACACAGCCACTCTATTTTATATTCCAGAAACTGTTTTTATATTAATCTGTATTTTAATTGGGTAACAGCTGCTGCCTACAGACTTCCCATGGTCTAAAAGGAAAATAAATTAGAAAGATTAACTACACTGTTGTTTCACAAGGCTTTAACCCACAGCATGCCCACCCGGCTGGCACCTCCACACCCTTTCCTTGCTTGGGAGACCAAAGAACTGCCCAGCAGAGGGAGGGCCTGAGCCAAAGAGAAGAAAAGTTGGTCCACTGAGGGCTAGGGGTGGGGCTGGGGGGTGAGGGGTGAGGAAGAGCTCTGGGTCAGCGGCTTTAATCTTATGAGTGCTAAGACTCCTCTTTTTATTTAGTCAACAACTATTCATGGACGGCCTACAATGTACTGGGCCCCGTTCCAGGAACTAGGGATCCAGCTGTGAGGAAAAACATGAAATCCCTGCCCTCCTGGAATCAGCATTCTTCTTGGCAGCCCCCTCTATGCCCAGCCCAGCCAGCACACAAAGCCTGTCCACCTTCCAGAGCCACACCCTGAGCAGGCAGTTGCCCTGTGTTTTGTCTCAGGCACAGAGGGGCCAGAGTCCAGAGTAGGCTTGTTGCTGACTCCAGGTGCAACACCCAGATGACTGACGAGCACCCATGCACCCACCCCTGCCCTTCCTGGGCCCGCTTCTCTCCTGCTTCGTTCTTCCAGGGCCAAGCCACACCCCCAGGCTTGGAGCTGGTGCTCAGGGTCAGGACTATCCTGGAAAACCTACAGCCACTCTCACTTCTTGGAAAAGCTCTGGGGTCTGTGTGCCAGTCTCATGTCCTGTCTGAGTCTTCTGGGGCAAAGTTAGGTCTACCACTTCTCTTGACTCCTACACCAAGGGTCACTGAGATGAGATGAACACTGAAGGGCTTCCAGAAAGGCTCACTCACAGAAGAAACCAATGGCACCCTTGTCAAGAGACCTCCCTCCTTGGAGATGGGACTTAGGTCAGCATCTATGCACTCCACAAGCACCTGCTCTGGGCCCAGGAAAATCACTCATGTGCGGAGAGAAAGTCACTGCACTAAAAAGGAAAACCAGGGCACTGCTCTGCGCGATCTCTCACTACAGACTAGGGCCCGCCTTTTCCACCCTGGTGGTAGGTGGTAGGGCTCCAGGGTCCTGGGGCTTTCTCACACTCCTGTCCAGTGGTCAGCAATCCTAGAATCATCAGTCTGGAAGGAGCCTAGTGAGCCCAGCTCCCTCTCTCTCCAGGCTTCCCAGACTTGTGGTTCAGCAAGACATGGCTTACAGCTGAGCTCCTAAAGGGCTTGAACTCAACCCCCAGAGACACGGGGGCTTGAACTATTGGTTCGGCTGGAAGCATCCTTCCAGGGGGAGGCCTCACTCCCCTGTATGAATCCTTCCAAGGATGGACTACATCTTATCAGCTCCACCAAGGCACTAGATGAAGTGTGTGAACTTAAGAAATTAGTCCCTGTACCTGATACTGACAACCTATAAGACATCTCTAAGACTTACACCAGAAGCGATGAAGGAGAGAGCTAATTTAATAAAATAAATACTGGAAAGTTCTACCTTAGGCCTAACTTAAATCCTTCATGCTGCAGTTTACACCCAACCCCACTTGGGTTAATATATTTTTGTAAAAAGCTTTCACATCCTCACAATGAAAGGTACTAGAGGAAAGCCAAGTATTATTAAGCTGAGAACCAGGGCTCACAGGCTAAACAGAGCTCAAAGACCTTAACCACTTAAAGCTGGAGAGGTGAGAGGAAGAATTAATGTGTGCTCTGTGGCTCCTTTCACCAAGGGATTACAGATTAACTCCCACTTCTCCAGACTCGGAAACCACAAGGCGAGGGGCTTTTGACCCTGACTGATAACATGACTGGTTACTGAGATCCCCTACCCACACAGGGGCTTTGTCCAGGAACGAGCTGGCTTCATCATAAACACTAGCAACTACAGGAAGCAGCCCAGGACACTCAATGCCAATAGCATGTCAGCATCCAGTGCTTTCTCCTTTCACAGTTTATCTCCAACACAATCGTATTCTGACACCAAGACAGTTTGTTGATTACATAAGCACTTGTCTCTGGTGTGCAATCTGATAATCAGACCCACTCTTTCTCCTCAGACAAAGAGACCAATAAATCTCACTCTTTATAAGTATAGGTGCAAGACAAAGCCCTTTACTGGCATTTAGCAAAATTGGTATTTTTTCTAGTTTTTTCAAGACAATGACAACAACAACAAAAAAAACTGCACATGGTCAGGGACTGTGCACTAGCCCAGCTGCTAGATGCAGAGATCTGACGGGTTGGAGCAGATTCTAGAGGTGGTAGGGAAAGGGCTTGGGAAGGAATGAAACTTATCCCATCCTATCTCTGTCAGAAACAAGTCTCCTGGCAGACTATCACCTGGAACGAAGAAAGGATCTCAAGAAGGCTACTAACATGTCCATTACACAGAGCAGTTAAGAGTGTCTATATGTGGGCTACAGACCCACTCAAGGCAGCATCCCTCTTCTTGCTGCCCAGCACTGAGCCTGTCTCTCCCCTCCAAAAGCATGTACTCATATGTGTACTCATGTGTCATGATGTGCACGCACACACACACACACACACACACAGAGGCCAGGGTTCTTAAGAACTTCTTATGCACAAGAGAAAATCCTACTAGAGGAGATGCTCAGGCACAGTCCAGAGGTGCTGGGTTGTTCCTCACACCTACTAAGGAAAGATTCTCTCTGACTGTGATGATCTCTATCTCTACCCCAAAGGTAGCCACTGCCACACTGGACAAGGTCCCACAGTGATGGCCCCCATCCCGTGTTCATGCCTCTCTCTACATTACAACTCCATCTGGTATGGAAACAGGGCAATATTTAGATGATCTGAGGTCTTCCAAAGAAGTCTTCACTTACTCGAAAGAACGAGTTAGCAGGACAGTTACTTCGGGGCAGGGGTGGGGTGGCGGGCAGCAAGGTGTGGTTGACTACTCTTTGACAATATTCATTCATTTAAGGAACACATGTTAAGTGTTTACTTGGCACCAGACCCTAATGATGGGCCAGAGATGGATCAGACCCAGGTTCTGCCCTCAGTGAACTCACTCACGGTCTAGTGGAGAGACACATAAGTAAATACAGTACAATGCATCTGATCAGCGCTTTGGGTGGTGGGACCAGCCATGGGCTTGGGGAAGGCTCCCCAGAGAAGATGACCCTGAGAAAAGTCCTAGAGGACAAGTAGGGGCAGGGAAGGAAAGTGGGAGCCGCATACAGGCAGGAGCATCGTGTGCACAGGCAGACTGTGAGGGAGCGACCTTAGGTGAGGGAAGTGAGGGGGCATGAAGCAGGGAGATGTGAGGTTGGACAAAAAGGCCGGGACCAGGTCAGGGAGAGTTGGAGGCTCTGGAAGCCTGAGGCGAAATGGCACCCTCGGTGCCACAGCTCAGTCACATCTTCACTTTCAGATAAGGCTTCTGGACAAGGGTCCCAACCCCACCGTGCCTCCTGCCCTCCAAATTATGTATGTGTGTCCAGGGGTGAAACTTTCTAAAAAAGGAAAAATAGCTCTCATCATAGTCTCACAATCCCTCCTCCCTTACCCCCAAAAAGAAACAGCAACAGCCCTGATCTCAAAAAGATCTCTTTTCCCAATACTCTCAAGAACCCACTCCTGCCCAGGGCTGAGCTCCAACAGCACTGTTCCATGCCTAAAGAACTAGTAACCTTTCCCAAATTTGGGTCTGCCCAGCTGCACCAGGCAGCCTAGCTGCAGCTGGAGTCCCCAAGGGGGGAATCTGCACACAGAGAGGAAGGCGAGAAGGACAAGAGGATACTGCATTTTCAGGCCAGTGGAGGCTCAGGTAACTAGCTGGCTTGAGGAAAATCTTCCCTTTCCACAAGGAAGGGGATTTTCACCATTAAAATGGTGGGTTTTTTCCCAAAATGGGCAAAAAGAACAGATTAGCGCCCCCTGGTGGTATAGGTAATTTCCAGGGGCAAGGGGGAAAAAACGTAGATCCCAGAGGGAGCAAGAATCTCAACATCATTAGTGGGAACAACAAAGGGGTTGAGAGACTACACACTTTGGCAGATGGATGCCTGCATCAAAGGCCTACCTGGGTTGGGCAGGAAACACTAGCATCAAGCCCAGTAGCGACCCCTGAAACTTCATATCTGGGCTAAGTCAGCCTCAGAGCCCATGGGGCCCTCCCACCAGTGGCAGGCAGGCCCTTTCCCAGCATTCCCCACACCAAGACAACGGTTTGGGGATCACTCAAGAACTTCCTTCCTCATGTTTCACTCATATGCAGAAAGTAAATCTCTAAACAAAGGCAGAATATCTCGAATGTACCCCAGCCCCAAATTCTTAAGAAGATTCCAGAAACACTCACGTTCTCCCATTACTTCTGCTACCACACATACTTGGCCCATGATTCCACCACAGCCCCTGGCCACCACAGAGTGCATAACACGACACGTCACAGGGGAAAGCAGTCACAGAAGGTCTCAAGAGTAAGAACTCTTCAGGGGCACCTCCTCTCTGCTACTAGTTCTTTTGAGCCTCTAGCAAGCATCAAGATCTCAGTTAGCCCAATTTCACAATCTGCAAAATGGGGCCAATACTAACCTGCTGGCAAGGTGGCCGAGTACAACACTGGCACGGGATAAGGATAAAGACATTTCAGCCTCATATCCCACTTGGACTGCTCTTCTCGTTCCTCAAGGATAGGGTCGTGCTTCCCACAAACTCAACCACTGCTTCACGCAGGGCCACTTTGCTCAAGGACAGAAAAACATCACCAGAGGCTAAGAAAGCCTGAACATAACCTCTCCTTCCAAGAAGCTGAAATCTTTACGTCTTGTCAAGAGGCCCCAGGGGAAATGGAACTGAAAAGTAGCTGAAGCCCGGCAGTACCATCCTGGAGTGGTGCAGCACTCCAAGTGCCTGGTCACCAGGAGGGGTAGGGACGATAAGGGAGAGAAAAGGTTGGGGAAGCTGGGACAGATGGTGCCACTTCTCCTTGGGTCCCCAGTGACCACAGTGGTGCAAGCGGAGTGGCAGACTTTGTAAAAAGCCAGCTGCTGGCTGGGTCCAATGCGCACCTGCCTTACCCACTAATAAGGCTCCAGCTGCCCCTACAGCAGCATGTACAGTGCACCAGTGACCCAAAAGCTCCTGTCCCAGCAGCCCGTGCTGCCCTGCTCCAGGGCCCTTACCTCTGTACAGAAGGGAGTAAGCTGTGGATGGACTACAGGCTGGACGTACATGTGAAAGGTAGACTCAATCTCCATGGTCCGACCATTTAGCTTCAGGATGGGGAACTCGATGATTTCCTGGAATGGCAAAGACACAGAAAAAGAATACATTTTTTTAACCAAACATTATAAGGAAGAGTCAAGAATGAGGGACTGCTTTGGACTCATTAGCTCCTGCCAGGCCAGACCCAAGACTGAGTGAGATGGTGCCAGCTCAGTTCCAATCCCAACCTTCCCACTGTTACTACCCTTACAGGTGGCAGGGACTAGACACACACCTCACCCCCACTGTCTCTGGAAAGGGGAAAGAAGACAGTAGTACAAGCTGTCCCAGTTTCCCCAACTGCTTCTCTGCCAGAGGCCTGTTCACTGGAGCCCATAAAAGTAGCCCCACCCTGTCCCCTTGCCCAAGCCTCTGCCCTGGATGGGCCTGGATCTCTAGTCACCTAGACAACCAGCCATAAGACCAATCACAGCCTTCTGCATTTGAAGTTTAAGCAGAACCGATGAGTTTCTTCATTCGTTTTTTTTTTTTTTAAAAAAAGATAAATAATAAATAAAGCCAAAGGGGATATAAAAAGAAAAAGAAAACTGAGTAAGAGTAATAGGAGCTGGTGCCTCCCACCTTTCTTTCAGGCAGTACACCCTCCCCCAGCCTGCCCCCCCCCAATCACTTAGCCAGCCCTTCCCAGTCCACTGGAACGTAATGGAAGAGAAGGAGGAGGAGTGACAATTTGTTTGGTGTCTCTAAGATTAATTTGTCTCCGTTATTTAATAGAGATGCACAGCACCAAGGTCCTGGTGTGCAAACAGGCTTGCAGAACGCTGGCTGTGCAGCGCGCCTCCTACATTGCTCCTGGGAAGGGAGGAATGCACCAGAGGGGGGAGAGGGCAGGAGAGCACACGCGCATCAGAGAGAAAAGGGAGAGCGAGGAGAGAAAATAAAAAAAATTATTACTTTTTAATATTCAAAAACAGTTTGCAAAATTTAATCAAAGCAGAGGAAAAGCTAACATTTTTACCACTTTGACATTTTTATTAGCGCTTTCATAAATTTTTAAAACATGAATGGAATTAGTTTACAACACAAAAAAAACTGCCCTGAAAACATCTGGAAGAGACAAATAGGAAATAATAAAAAAAATAAATAAAAGCAAAATCCTCCGAGTAAAATTAGCATGTGGAAAAGGCCTCCACTGCAGAGAGCGAAGGGGGGCTTGGCCCACTCCGTGGCCCCAGTAGTCAGCTCCAGCAGCATCCCTACCCCAGCGCCCAGTTCTGGAGGGGACCCTTCTAGTATCACTAAAATCAAGGCAAACTGGTTCTCTCCAGGGACAGCCTGGGGGAACAGCACGGAAGCTGTTGACACCTGACCGCATGCAGGACATGGACGAGTGGGAAGACAGGAGAAATGGCCAATCCCCTCGATGTCCCAGGGCAGCCAGGTAGCCTCTCCCTCAAACACACCTATGACTACTGGGCTTGTTCTTAAAGCACCTATTTTTATCCAACACATTACAGCAGGACTGAAGACTAAATCAAGGCAGTCAGATTTCATGACTGAAAAATCCAAAGGTTCTGCTTGCCTGGTCTCCCCAGCTGATCCCCCAAAATGGGGAGGCTGACAGGAGCCCCCTGAGATAGGAAGGGCAACAAGGCTGAGGCAGAGGGGCCGTGGCAAGGAGGTCCCAGCTTTGCTTAAATTAGGTGACACCTTTCCTCCCAACTTGAAGAGACAGGGGGAGCTATCCCCCAAATCCCTGGGCCTCTCTCACTCCTCACAAAGCACTCCTTAGCAGACCTGGTAGAGGACAGTTTTGTGCTGAAAAATAAAATGGAGGCACACATACACACAAAATATATATCGGTCCCCCTGAAAAAACAGATGTCCAAGATTTCCAAACACTAACTCTGAAGTGGGGCTCATCGGACGCCTGAATTTCTGATGTATCCTGCTTCTCCCACTATGGAGAAGCAGCACTTCCCCAGTAGGAGCTCCACAGCCTGGTTAGTTTGGCTGCCCTGGTGTCTAAAGAAACAAATACAGCCAGTTCCTCACTAACAATGTTAGCTGGGCCCACAATGAAATTTAACCTGTGACACAACTGTACTTTTCATTTAAACTTTCATTTGGAGAGAAGCAGTGTTTGGAGACCTGCAGTTTGTCCTGCTAATAAAGACAAGTGTTGGGACCTTTAAGGATGCCATTCATCTCTGGCTTTTATTAAATTCAATTTTCTTAAGCCCATGATACATTATGAAATTAGGAGTTGACATTCCTCTGGAAACAAAAATATCTATCAAACATAAATAGAAAAAAAACCCTCTATTACCAAGAATTTATGGCTTAAAGTTGATCTCTTTCCACTTTTTTACAAGCACATGGTTTGTTTTAGATATCTGAAATGTTATTATAGATCTAGAATTTCATTAGTATTTATTATAAAATAATAAGCGCTTCAGCTCCTGTTCTGACCAGCACCAAGTCGGCATCCCCAGTAGATTCTCTGAAAACTTGGCCTTTGGGTTTCCCCACTGCAGCTTGCTCTTCAAGCTCTCCTGCTGCTGGCTTACTCACCCCTAGAGAAATGGAGCTAACCTCTGCTCACACTCAGTAGCACCCTCCCAGAGAGGAAGAATAAGTTAGCCCCAGCTCTAAGCAAAAAGACGGGGGGAGATCCCCAAGAGGCCTGGGGGCCAGGGACACAGTGGATTGGACCTATCATAAACATACCTCTCCAGAGTCACTGGCCCATCAGCCAGGCCTTCTCCCCAAGACCAAGAAGAGGGACTTTCAAGAGCCAATCTTAGAACATGACTCTGCATGGGCCCCTTCTCAGCACCCTCAGCAGCTGTTGTAACAATGACCTTGCACACTGGCATACTCATTTAAGCCAATGAGGATGCAAAAGAGGAGCTTCTGATAGAAGACCCTCTGGGGAGTCAGAGCACAAAGGATTTCACTTAGGTACTTCTTACCTTCCCGTATTACCCAATCAAGCCCAGAACCTCAAAATCCTGGCCCCAACAGCCCATTCATGGGAGAGGAACCCTAATCTCTACCAAGGGGGCATGACTCTGCAGCCAGTGCACCTGGAGCAGGCCAAACACTTCAACAGTTTTCGGCTCATAAGGATCGCAATGGAAACACCAAAGTTACAGGTTGATCACATTCATTCCAACCCAAGAGCTTAGGAAGATGTGCCTACGTGCTAGCTTCTGGAGGCAGTCACTCCGATAATGAAACTGTTATTCCTGCCTCTCCTCCTTTTCCCTCCCTCAATCTCCTCATTCCCCTGGGAAGAAGTTTTTAAGAGTAGCTGAGTGTCTGCTTGTGCAGAGGTAGCACCAGGAATGAAAGAAGAACCAGTGTGTGTGTGTTTACCAGCCCTCTCTTCCTGCCCTAAGAACAGTTTCCCAATTCCTTACATCTGTATGTCATTCGCATTCAATTAAACTACCTGAGCAGCATCTACTGGGTGCAGGGCACTGTACCAGTGTTAGAGTGGGATTTAGAAAGGTGTAGCCTCCGCTTTGGGGAAGTGCACAGACTAGTGAGCAGAGAAGATACTGAACAAATAATGAACAATGCACTATGATAAATATCTTAGTGGAGGGACATACTGAGTGTTAGGACTTTCAACTTATAGTGTGCTTGCAAATACATTTTCTTATCTTGCCCTTATTAATCCTGGAAGATAGGTCGTATCAGCAGCAGTAGCAGCAGCTCATAAACCAACACTATTAAGCATCTACTATTTACCAGGCAGGGGCTGGGTGTGGAGGCAGAGACAAATACAATGAGATGCGGCTCCTCTGTCTGAGTCTGGGCAAAGGGTAAAGAGGAGCTGGCCCTGACACCCTTGGGGACCCATGGAAAATGGAATCATTTCATTCCTTCCATTTGTTGTTTACTACATGGCAGACAGTCTGCTAGATGCTTAACAGGAACGACCTCATTGAAGCCTCCTAACAACTCAGGAGGTGGGAATCGCTATGATCCTTATTTTACAGATAAAATAAGGCCCTAAAAGAAGCGGTCACTTGCTTAAGGTTACACTCCTTGTGAGGGGCAAAGCTGGGACTCCAAATGGGGAAATGAGACTTAAAGAGAACAGCTTTCAAAATCTGATGGGTCAAGAGCTGATTCTTCCAGACTGAAAGGCTGTCTTTAGGAAGCTCGGTCTGCTGTCTCCTAGGAAGAGAGGCTGCTCTCGAGTTACAAGAGCACTGAGCACGGCCTACCCGGGCAGAAAGTCCTGGAGGACCATCGCCTCACAGGCCCCATTGCACTGCAGTGACGCGGACGGCGCTTTGCCCTGAGCTCGGGGACGGTGGGAGCCTTATGTCTGCAGCTCCAGCACCCAGCTCTGTCCTCGCATGTAGACCTCACTCTCTGCGCTTCTGGTGAGTAACATGAGGGGCCAATAAAGGGCAAGGCAGAAGCCAAGCACATGGCTCTAGCAGAAACATCTGTTTTTACAGAGCTCTCCACAGGTCACAGAGGTGAAGGTGACAAACAGGATAAAGGTGGTGGTGGAGCCAGGATTCAAACCCAGACACAGAACACCCCAAAGCACTTCCTGTCTCTCATCTTTAAGTGGCTTCTCTTCCTCCACCAACTGCTACAAACCACCAACATCCCAGTTTTCTGTCTGTCCAGACCAAGGGTTTCCTGGAACACAGAACTTTCAGAGCTAAAACCGGGACAGCTGGTCAACCTACACTGTCCACAAGCTACCTGCACCACTAGGTTGTGCAAGGACAGAGTATAATAGCCCCAAAAAGTTGGTCTGCTGATGGTGGATGGGAACTAGCCACAATTTGACAACTCAGGACAAAAGCCTCAGAACTTGGATTGTTCAAAGTATCCAGGGTTCCAAACCTACCATGTCTGTTGTCTCCCTCAATAAAATGTCAGCAGCAAACCTTTGTTTTTTTAAGGGGAGGGAAGACAGATAAAAAGGAAGCACCAAGTAAATATTCTTTTACCTTTTTAAGTGAGCAGAGGTATAAGCTGGAACAAAGGTTTTAGAGATAGCTGCTTTCTAGTTGCTCAACGAGGAACATCAGAGATT